TTGGCTACGGTGCACTGCACTTCACTATCTCTATTACTAGAGCTACTAAGTACAAGTCCAGTGCTGGCAAGTTAAAGGCAATCCCCGTACAAATGCTAGTAGAAATTTTTAGCTCATTTTTTCAGGTAAAACCCGTTAYATTAACTGTCAATTCTARAAAGACGGTTAAAAAATTGTTCATCAACTGCACAACTTCTGAAAAAATTCTGGCGCGGAGAAGAATGGCTGAGGTCCGTGCCAGGATTTTTTCAGAATCTGAACTGTTCGAACCAATACTTGTGGATGATTTTTTCCGGAAATTGTGAGTCATTTTTTTCCGGTGCGGAAAGGAAAATTACAGATACCAGTACAGAAATGCAAATGGTACTAGTACAGAAACAGACACAGAGACAATAGCAACACCAAAGCTCACATAATTCTGGGATTGAAACAATGGATAGACTATTAGTAGTAGAGCTCCCTCAGTTCCATGACACCATGGTGGAGGACTTTGAAGTTGTTCTCCAGATTGAAGATGAAGCAAGCCAGAAAAAGAGATTTCGGGATTTGGAGCAACAATACAAGACAATGAATTGGCTCACGGAAGGCCTGACTGATGAGATCTGGTCTCTCTTCCCTATTGCAAATGATATTGATGTGGAAAACAACAATGAAAGAGACTTGGCCAAGTTCAAGGAGGCTATGGAGAGATTCTGCATCCTGCACCAGAGGTTTGCTTCTCCATATCAATTCCAACAAGCCATGAAAATCCTTTGCTCCAAGTGGTCCGTGAAGGTTGCATTTACTCACAATTCAGTCCCRTGTCACTACAGGCAAGGAAGAAGGAGAAGGCTTCATGAAGATCCAACAAAGCGGAGACAACTGAGGRAACTGCCTGTCTATAATTGTCCATTTGGAATCAGATATTCTATCCCTGRAATCAAAGGTGCCAACAAACCAAGGATTCTTCTTCCAGTCAAGATCACTCATGTGAATTTGCATCACACTTGTCCACTGAACACTATCTGTTACAGAGTTGCWGTATGCAGATCAGGATCCTACACCACCAACTTGGAAGGAATGAGGGACATTCTCTCTCTAATTCAAGTGAACCCAACCATGCCCACCAATGACCTCCGGCCATTCCTTTCAAGGCACTTCCCCCCACATACACCATTGACAGCAAAGGCTGTTAACAATTTCCGGCAGAAAGCAATCAAATATCTAGCAGTCTATGGAAACAAAGAGGTTACAGAGCAAGAGGCATCGCAGCTGCTTGGAAATTCAACAACTGAAGAGACCATTGCAACTGACTCCTCAATAAAAAGGAAGGAAGTTGAGAAACTCCTATCAAATGTCATGACCMGGGGTGACATTTGGACTGTTGTGGATTTCTTTGACAAACTGAAGGAAGATCAACCACTATTTTGTTATGCCCTGAAGAAGAACAGCTCAGGTCTACCAGAAGCAATCATATGGAGCACAGCAGAGATGCAGAGAGATCTTCTAAGATTTTCATCTACTCTCTTCTTGGACATGCDGAAGACTGCCACCAACAACATTGGATGGAATTATTTTGGTCCCACAGTTTTGGATTCTGAGATGAAGGTGAGGGTTGTTGCTGAGTGCCTCTGTTGTGTTGAATCCAATGAAATGTATGCTTGGGGGCTATCACAATTGCCAAAATTTGAACCCAATTACAGCTTGGAATCAACCAGGTGTTTCTTTGCAGATCAGCTAGTGACTGGAGAGCTGCTACAAATGCTGTCCATCACAGAGACTTGCACATTGARAATTGATCATCATCATTTGTTTCAGAGAGTTTTTCCAGATTTTTTTGGTGAGAGACTCTGGGAGCAACAACTGCAGCCTATCATGAGGACTATGCTTGGTGCTGGGACAGAAGCCTGTTGGAATGACTGCTATGAACAGGCAGTGAGGATTGTCCAGTGCAACAACTCTCATTTTGAGTACCTTCAGGGAATCCACTCAAGGCCAGAGATGTATTCAATGTGGTATCACAAAAAGTTTAGAGGTAATCTAAACCTTAGAAGCTCTGTTCCGGCGGAGCAGAATCATGCAAGTGTCAAAGCATTTCTTGGAAGGGGTAGAACATTATCTCTGCTTGAGAATGTAAAGAAGCTTCTTGACYGCCACATTGAACATGCCAATCAAAGAAGACAGAAAGCAAATGAACTATTTGTAAAGAGTACAACATACAAGTCTCCTCATCTTGGGAACCTCAAGTTGATTGACTCTGAAGCAAAGAAGAGCTTGTCCCATCATGCCTACATGATGCATCAACAGATCCAAAAAGCTTCAAAGTACTTGGAGTGCAAAGTGGAGGGTGGAATTGTGCACTGTTTTCCAGCTGACAGAGATGAGACCTCCCACAGAGCAGTATCATGGGTTSAMGGTCAGAGGTGCAATTGTTGGCGGTCACATGATATGGATTTCCAGTGTCAGCATGAACTGAAAGTGGATGGAGAATTTCTGGTACACAAATTTGGTGATAGGTGGTTACAGGATTATCAGTACAAGAAGCTCCATCCATTTTACTCCAATCTTCATATTTCTCCTGAGGATTTACCAGTGTTGGGAGCAGCTGTCTCTGATGATGTGGATTCTGATGATGTTGGGGGTGATGGTGGCTTTGGTGGTGGTSCCGATGATGATCATAATGAGTATGAGAATAGCCCACCAGCAGTCACTGACTCCAAACTCACCTCCAGGCAATTGTATGCAGTGGCTCAGTCAAAATTCAACACCTTGTGGAGACTCCTAGATGGTAACAAAAGGCTTCAGCTCTCCTGCATTTCKGGTTTGGAGCAATACATGGAAAGGGCTCAACAGAAACACAGTATTGCGATTGAGTCATGGGTAGGAGACCAACGGTCAGCCCTGAGAGTACTTGGAGCTCAACCAACTGAGGATACGGATCACAGACTAGCACCTGCACTTCCTGTCAGAGGTATTATGAATGTTCCACCATCTGGTAGGTCAATGAGTAGATATAAGAGTTCACRTGAGAAGAGAAAGAGATCAGCTCCAGTCCCTGTGAYAGGCACAACCAACAAAACAAAAGCTTGCAGTTTTTGTAGAGGTGCCGGTCACAATATTGGATTCCGGTGCCCAACAATCAATGCATGGGGTGGATCCATTCTGACCCGGAACAAGGAGCAATTCAACCAGAGGCTAGACTTTGTCAAGCAGATGTGTTGCATCACATCAGCATATGCAATTTCTCCATTTCCTCTAGAYAGACATTCTTYAGAGGTAATCCATGAGATTGGAAACGGTACCAGAGGGATTGTAATACACAACCGGTTTGTCTCTGCTGACAACCTACGTGTTCTTGTTGAATGCACTTTGTTGAAGGCAGAGGGCAAGCCATGTG